CCAACGGGTCCCCCACTGTGTGCAGGAGAAATGCATGGACAAGCCGGGTCCGAAGCTGGACAGCCGGGCTGAGACGTGCTTCGTGAACTGCGTGGAGCGCTTCATTGACACCAGCCAGTTCATCCTGAACCGGCTGGAGCAGACACAGAAGTCCAAGTCGGCCTTCTCGGCGAGCCTGTCCCAATGAGTGGGAACCGCGAAAAAAAAACCATGAGGCCAGGCCCTCCGCCACGCTGGCTCCTGGTCACTCTGCTGCCTGAATGAGCTAGGATCAGCTCTGGGGTTTAGGATTTAATTAAATGCCAGTCTTGGGAAGTTGCAGCCAGATGAGAGCCCACGACAGAGGCATGGTCATTTCTCCTCGGGGTGACGTGCTGCTCCCAGGCCCATGGGGCAGCAGCTGTCTTTGTGCTGGGACTCTGGGGCTATGGATGCTATGCAGGAAGCGTTGGGAATGCACCCGCTCAGCTGAATGGAGGGGTGGTGACACTCACATCAGGGCGTGCTGATGTGACTCTCGGCTCTGGGTGAGGCCAGCCTGTGACCGCCGCCTTAAACGGTGCTGCACGAAACAAACCTCCTGGGAGATGCTAACAAGCCCTACAGGCGCCATTGCTGTGCAGTCTGGTACAGGTACCCTTAGCAAGAAGAGCTTGTTGGCATAGTGATCATTCCAGGCACTGTCACTACTGGAAAATACTTTCAGGCTTCCATAAGTAAATCATTCATGTGGCCAAGTGACAGATTTTCAAACTGCAGCACAACTCTGTCAATACTGACTTGCTCCATTAACTGCTTTCCCCTGGTCAATGTAATAAATATTAACTGGGTCAATTTTTAACATGAGATTCTCCTTTGTTCAGGTAGATGACCACTGAGAATTGAAAATCTTGCCACCTTCTCACTCACTCTCCTTCCCAGTCATCCTGTTTATTGCAAAATTAGTAGGGAGGGGGTGTAATTGTCTTCTGGCTAGAAGGTCTGCTCTGAATTCTGATTTGTTGCTCAATTAATTTGATCCCATGAATCAGACTTGTTTCTGGGAGAGGCTGTGACCTTTCCTCCTTTTCCCCAAGGGGTTAACGGCTCCTGCTCTCCTGTAGAGGAGTAGTTTCTTTCAAGAGGCTAAATACAGGAAATAAGTAACCAACTACTTTATAACTGTATGCACCTTTACCTATGGAGACGACTGGAGGGAGGGCCTATACCATGTCTTCTAGACCTCTGCCCCCAGGACACAGAGGGTAGCTTCCCAACAAACTACCGGTCCGCCCTCTCGGAAAGGCAGCATAGCATTTCAGCAGCGCTTATGTGCAGCATGGCTCTGAGAAGCCTGGAGTGACCCACTGACGGTGGCTTGGAGCTCTACACAGGAATCAGGTAAAGCAGTTCTGCACATGTCCATTTGCTGTGGATGGCTGGACACAGCATGTGAGTACATTGCTTGTAGCCAGCAACCTTCCTGGGAACAAATTCAGGATGTGTTAAAACAGAACTATGCAGATACAAACCCATGTAGGTGAGGACACAGCTGTCTAGTTATCTTTCAGAAACTTACCTCAATAGCTAAGGACTCTTAGGTCACTTCTGTTCCTGCAGTGATTCCTTCTTCTGTCCCTATCTTGAGTTTCTCTCAAGCATCTGCATGGTTCTTCCTACCCCTGTAATCCTTCACGCCTTTCAGCACTGGCCCAGCTCTATGTACAAATGTATCACTAGCCACTCAGTAACTGAACTAATCTGTTTTTAATAGAATACAGTGAGCAGGTGTTTCATCAACCTGCACAGCAGACGTTTCGTGAAGAGGCTGGTCCCTCTGCAAGAGCCACTGCAGCATGTGGCACCATCATTGAAGTTTTCCAGTTTTGGCTGTGTATTCTGTTCTTGGATGTGAATCTGTAAATAAATTCTAGCAGAGTGAGCAAAACAAGTACTTGATAGAGGAATTTTTTAATTAATACTCCAGGTTTGTCATCTTGAAAGCCAGATGTCCATCTTCCCTCTGTAATTTTAGCACCATGTTAGATTATTTTGTAACTGTTAATCTTCTAAGTATATTTTTAAAAAAATGCTGTGAGGCCTCCCCAGATGCATGGTTTTTGCATTCAGTTAAGGGTTAGCACTGTGTTAGTGCTGTGGGCCTCCACGCAGCCAAAGGTGGTGTCCTGACGAGGGCAGATCAATTCTTCATGTAGAAGAACAGTGAAGAGGCACCGGATCCCAGGAACTGGGCAGCTCACAGGGCTCCTGTCTGTAGCTGCAGGAGGCTGCTGTCCCTGTCGGCCTCCTGGCAGTGGCAGGTCACCCATCTCATGCCTGGGGCAGGTAGATGGTAACTGCCAACTCCTGCTAGTGCAGCAGTAGCTAGCAGCAGCTGAGGCAGCATGCTCAACCTTGCAGTGGAGCTGCTCAGCAGTGGCAGCAGAAAACTAGCAGTTCAGAGGCTTCCTCACACGCTTTCACCTTCCTCCTCCTCCTCCTCCGCGCTCTGAGAGCCTTTCTCCTCTGAGGGCAGAAGAGGGTGGTGCTGACATGACTGATGTCTGTCTGCACTCCTCCATGAGACGTGCAGATCTGGCCTGCCTTGCTGCAGGAAGAGTGGCAGGAGGTCGGGGGTGAAGGCCATGTCCCTGAAGGCGTGCAGGAGGAAGATGCCAAACACGATGGTGAGGAAGCCGCTGATGGTGCCAATGATGTTGTCTAGCACCATGTGTTGCCATTCCTTGAAGAGGATGGCAGAGCACATCATGACTGCTGTGGTGAACAGCACGTAGTACACAGGCGTGACCACAGATGTGTTGAAGATGTCCAAGGCTTTGTTCAGATAGTTGATCTGGACGCTGATGCAGATCACCAGGCATACCAGGAGCACCCAGCCCAGTGGTTCTTTCAGGACTGGCTTCCCGGAAAACAGTTCTTTCAGGGCAATCCCCAAACCTTTGACACAGGACACAGAAAGCGAGCCGATGGCAGAGCAGACCAAAACATAAACCAGGACATTGCTCTGTCCGTAACGGGGTCCAGCCACAAAGATAAGCAGAAGGGAGCTCACGAGGATGCACATGGTAAATACAATGAATCCTTTGGGAAAGAAGAATTAGAAAGCTCCATAAGAGAACAGTAGCACCAGTGACAAATATAACTGAACTGCAAGTAGAGGGAGGACAGGCAGGTAACTGCCCCATCAGTCTGTATTTTTAGCCTCCACCTGTAGGGACTGGGGTTCGGAAGCAGAGTTGGTCTCCAGCCTTAGCAAAGTTGCAGAGACAACAGCAGCTCTTTACAGTGCTGATCACAGCACTGCCCCACAAGTCAGCCTGTCAGGGGATACAGCTGCCCATGCTGGAATGGGTAGGGGCACAGCCAGGCTCTATGGCACTAGCAGAGGTGGGAGGCTTGTTGTCCGACAAGATGAGGGGGCACAGCTTTGCAGGAGGCCCAGGAGGGTGGCAGAAGCCCTAGCTGAACTCTGCAGGCTGTGGTGGGATAAAGAGGAAAGCACCACATCACAGGAGTGTGAGGCTCTGCCAGAGCACTCCCTCTAATGAGCGTCAGCACCTACCCATTACTCTGCTTTGCTCTTCTCCCTGTCCTTCCTTCCTCCATCTCCTGTGGCTTATTCTGCCATTCACGCTATTGTCTAAATCATATTCTTGCAACCTGATTCATTCTCTAACATAAATATCAGGACTACTTGATCTTGGGCGTAACTCCTTGAATCGCTAGTTCATCTTTGCCTGAAGTTCCTCCTTCCCTCAGCCAGGCCACTGCCACCCTCGTGTACAGGAATTCCCTCTCCTATCCTGGCACTGTCACAGACCAGCCCCTTCGGCTGCAAGCTGCAGCTGATTTCCATGCTCTTCACTTTTTGCATCTATACCTCATAGACAGTACAAAAAAAGCACACTTGGTAACTGTTAATGACTCAAGTTCTCACCCCTGCTTCAGTACAGACCCAGTGACTTGGGAGCATCACCCGGACTCCCCTCTGCAAAGTGGGGTTCCCATCTGCTTCTTTCATCCAGGGTCAAGAGGACTTGACAGTCCTAAAAAGCCATTCTGAAGCTGACATGTCCCGCTATGTTTTGAGCAAATTAGTAAGGTGTAAATCCTCTGAGCACACACATTAAATGCTGTTTTACTGTCATCAATCTTTCACATTTAGAATGTGGAGACCCCAGCCTTTTCCCACCACAGAAGGCAACCTGCAAGCTACCCCGGACACAGGGGAATGTTTCCTCCACTGGTGCGCCGAACAAGAAACAGCTCAATTACCCTTTGGTTCAGTCCTTCCCAATCTAGCCAATATAGTATCCTACCTTCTACTGTCATTTCCAAGCCTGAAGTTGACAGGACCCCTTTTATTTAAGTACCTGGATCTTTCAGCTTCTCTGCCATTGACTCCAGGCTGGAAACCTCTTCTTCCTGTGGAGCATGGATCACCATCACTGTGGAGCCCAGGATACTCAGGATGCAGCCAATCTTCCCATGAACATTCAGCTGCTCATTCAGGAAGGCGGAAGACAGAACTGCACTGAAAGATAGTAAAAAAACCACAAAACCAATTAGGCGAAGTGATTGACTACCTGAAGGAAGAGACAGAGGAAAGCAGAGCAACTGCTTTCACCACTAAGGGGTGGTAGGTGAGGTAAGGGTGTTTCTGAGGCTGCTTACCTAACAAGGACACTTAGAGCACCCAGTGGAGTTACCAGTGTTGCAGGGGCAAAGGCATAAGCAGCAAAATTTGCTGCTTCTCCAACTCCCACTGCAAGAGAAACTTTGTCAGGTGAGCATCAAAGTAGGAGCAATTCAGCATAATACAATTTTGAGTGCAGTCAGAAGAGGGCCTCAGTTTCCACCTGAACATCCTGTGTTTCTCTCTGTTCTCAATGCAACCAGGAAAGAACAACATCAGCAAGAAAAGCAGAAGCCCAGTATAGGTTCTCTTGGGAAGAGAAGGCTCATGGTTATGAATGGTGATCCTTAGTCACACATGGCTATGCAGTTGAGCAGTAACCACAGGAAAATATTTCCATAATGTCCTCAAAGCTGAAAGAAGTTTTGACACATTTTGTATTTCTAAGTCATGTTCTTCTCCTGGAAGAGCTTTTACAGCTTTTTAAAGGGTAAATCAAGTACAATTCGTTATTAATGTTGAAAAATGTAAAATAGAGCTGCTGAAATCACTGTAGCACTAAACACACAGTGCTGGATGTGCCGTTATAACTACATCATCTGGGCAGACCATTTCAGAAGCACCTAATCCAACCCAGTTAGACCAGCTCCTCAACTTCTGTTTAGCAGAGAAACATGGTAATGCATGAGACTTTAGAATATTTTAGCTTTATCATTAGATCAACAACATCCTCAGACACTCAGATAAAAATCAAGCACTCACACAACTATCATAATAATAAACCAAGAAAGCAACTGGAAACAATGACAAACACACTCTTAAGTGTGTCTTGCTACAGTTTCAGAGCAAGTACTTACTGCACAGCAGCCCTGCCCACCAAAGCCACTCTTGCAGGTACGCGTGACCTCCTTGCCCTAAGGAAGAAAGAGTAACAAGAAACCTCAGATGAAGCTACACGAAAAGCTCATTATCCTGCCAGAACTGCCTCGGAGAAGCAATCACGCGGGAAAAGCCTCTTCTCTGCAAGGCTGCCTTGGGTCTGTCTGCCTTGTCACATATTGGCCTGACCCAGACATGGGCAAGCACTGATTCTGCTACCCTAAAAGCAAAGATTTTATCCTCAGATTCTCCTGCGTTTAAAAGACAGCACACGTGGGTGGTTACAGAAACGTCTCTTTGTCGGCTATGGGCGATAGCTGTAGAAAAAAAGTCTACTTTTAGACCAAAAAGCCCCACAAGCAAGAAGGGGGGCAGCCAAGGCCCAGCGCTGGCCGGACTGGCCGGGTGGAGGCTGGCCCGGCCCGAAGTGTCCGGGGAACGCGCCGGCGCGGGGAGCAGCTGCAGCGACAGCCCGGGGGTTGTCTGCTCACGAGAAAGAGGCGGAGGTGACGGGCGCTCGCAGGGGAGGGACCGGGGCGTTTTGTCCCTCCGCCCCCGTTAGCCCGAGCTCC